CCCCGTAAGGATCCAGGTTTCCAGTTTTTCCAGTTACATAATCAACGGTTAAGAAAGTATAATACATACTCCAAGTATTGAAATACACGCCATCGTGTTGGGATTCAATATTTCGACATTAATTATGTCATCATCAGGAATGAAATCAACGGTTGGTTGTGACAATGAAAGTGCAAGACCGCAAGCGACTACAGTACGGTACTAGATTCTACTAAGTGCGTGGTTGGCTGGGTTGGCTCGGCACTACGAGCAACGACTGTTGGAATGACACCATATAAATGGAACGATTGATTGATTGATTGATTACTTGATTTTGGTCAGAAAAGATAAATTTTATCGGTGAATTGATTCTCGAATGAGATAACGAAAGCTCTCTAATGACTCAAGCTACTGCTTGACCGTTTTTATTACGTTTATTAAAACCAATTTCTTCTAATTTTAAATAGGGGGCCTACGTTTTCCCCTGATTTTCCCTGACAAAATGACAAATTTATGATCATCTATTTGTTTCTGCAAACTGTGTGTTTCATCAAGATGCGGGACAACACCGCATGATGCACAGGCGGTTGGTAACTATGCTAACACCAAATTCACAGGGTACAAATCCTATGGAAAATATGGAATGCTACCCTCATACATCCATGGGAATGCACATCCATCAGTCGTGGCCCCAGTAGGGGATCAGGGGGAAATTTCTCATCCCCACCTCCGTCGACAAATATCTTGAAACACCACAGACGTCCATGCAAAATTAACATGCGTCCTGTGTAAAGCTTGGTTTCCATAAAATCGCTACACGCTATCGCCAACAACTGATTTACTGATCGAATCATGCAGGGAGCCTTACAAATTTATTATTATTGATTACTATGGAAACAGGACATCTCAGAAGACGAGAACACTCTTGGGATATTTAACAATGATCTACGCACATGATCACATGGCTCTGTTTATCATATCTAACAAATTTGAGCATAAAGAGCTAATTCATTTCTGTGAAGACACTGATTTAGTATATCTTGGGAAGTCATTTTCAGTGGTGTATCTAGGGCACGCCCCCCCGCCCCCCCCCCAAAAGTATAAGAGACAGCAGTTCCTCATTTCAAGACTCCTCCTAGATAAACCACTGGTCCTTGTAACTACAAGAATGTCTGTCCTGTAACATATTATCTCATGTGAATCAGGTGTTCAAATCGTGGGAAAAAAAATTACACAAGTTTTGCACTACTGAACCGTTTGTTTGATTTTTATTTTCTGATAGTATTTTATTACACAGCACAACAGAGCATTAAATAAAACCATTTACAGCATCAACTTGCTTTTCGTCACTTAACACATAGCTGTATGGAAGTCCTATTGATAATTGAATAAATGAAAATATGGGGATACGGTTTCAACCTCTAGAATGAATTGATGAACTTCTATAATGTAGTTAAAAAATTATTACTACAGCCTCCATGTTAACTAATGACTCCTCATATGATATGGTGCATTATAAATTATCAAGTATATCTTTTTATTGTGATAAAGCTTGCTTACTTCCTATAAAAGAAATTCCACATTTATGCATTACTGGGCTATTTCTGATAGTATTTTTTACACATCAGAAGATAAATAAATTAATAAAACCATTTACAGCATCAAACTACTTTTCCCGATTTAAAACATATGGAAGTCTTATTCAATAAATTAAAATATGGGGAATGGTTTCAACCTCTAGAATGAATTGGTGATCTTACTACAGTTAGAAAATTAATACTACAGCCTCCATATGATATAATGCAATAAAGGATTATCAAATAATTATATATTTTTTATTTTGATAAAGCTTGTATCTGGTAGGTTGCTCTTCTAAAATGCCTGATTGCATAATTTTTGTTCATTACTAGTTGCACATGGAATTCAACAAATTCTCTCTATCCGCTCTTCCTTCTTTTAGGCATTCACTGGTCATCCCACTGCAAAAATGGAGGAACTGGATTCTTTGGCTCTTTCTGTCACTGTCCACCAGACTTTGAAGGTCGTTTCTGTGAAATAAAGAGAGAACCGCATGCTGGTTGTGGCTACATTCAACATGGCCGTTGGGTAAAGGATGATTGTATGACCTGTTACTGTCTCAATGCTGTGATATCATGTACTGATAACAGCCCACAGAAATGTTGTAAGTAAATCCATGGCAACGACAGGAAATGTGACATGCCTAAATATGGTCATGATGACATCATATCATGACCATATATAGGCACATCATGACTATATATGGGCATAAAACTGTTTGACATAGAAAATTGATAATCTTTCGCAGTCTTATGGCGGTCTTTGTACAGTAATGTGAACCTCAACCATAGAATCAGGGTTCAAATCTGATTCTGGTATTTCCACCTGTGACCTTTGGGTGAGATATATTATCAAGTTGGATACATATTGGATCCTGTTAGTAAGTTACATAATTTTATGTAACAAATTTATGTGATTTGGCCATAATTGTGACACATCGCACCCATGATTTATATTATTCTCCCCAGGAAGCAAAAAGTTGCACATTGTGTATAATTTAATATGAATTCCTTCTGAAAGGAGGGATACTGACATACATAGCGTGTTTCAATTTCTCTCGCCAGCCTGTGCGGTCTTCGGCAAAACTGTGTATAGATCTACAGTACACTTTTTAAAATAAAGTAATTTATATAATTCTTTTTTTTTTCTTATTTTTCCAGCTACTCATTATGACATGGGACTTGATAAAGTTTTAAACATGCAGATTGAAAAGATTACAAAGGGAGAAGCATCAAGTTCCTCCAGCAATACCACTGCAACATTATTACATTTACTAATACCAAGCATTTTAATATTACTTGTTGTATTATAATAGTTGGTCAATATTAATTTTTATTAAAACAAATGTGATGTGAGCTAATTTTTCGATATTTATGTCTTCCAATCACTTTTTTTTTTATTCATTTCCATTGCAAAAGAACATTATAAATAATGAAGCAAAATAAGAAAAAGAAAACTCTTACAACAGGTGTTTAAGACCAGGGGCGGATCCAGAGATGTCCAAAAGTGGGAGGCCAAAAGGGGGATGATCGAGACAACACTGTTCTAGGGGGTCTGGGGCAAACCCCGCAAAATTTTAGTGTTCTAGACGTCCGAAAATAACATTTGAGGCGTTCTGGGCTATCATTTTTTTTCTTTTTTTTCATTTT